GAATAATAAAAGCTTTAAAAATTTAAGATTGTAAAATATAATAGAAGAAAAAAATTTAATACAAAGAGCAAAGAATATTAAAAAGATAATAGGTTAATACTTTTAAAATATTTAATGATAATTTAATGATTAGATAAATCATAAGCTAATATTCTCTTAACTATTTATGATAAATAATATAGCATTATAGCAGATTTGCAAAATTAAATTTTTTATTTTAAGTTTCTAAAATTAATTACTTTTTAAATTTTATAAATTGCTAAATTGCAGTTTCTATACTATACGTAGCGATATTACTTTATATAACAAATAAATCAGAATATGTATAAAGATCCAATTTATAGGAGTATTTAAATAAAGGCCGAACTCTGCCAATTCGCTATAATACTACACTGTTATATCGCATTTGATTAGTTAACGTTAATTTCAAAATCAGTATCATCTATTTCTTGATCGAAAATATCATATAGATATTGATATTGATACAGTATGCAAATTCATGTATTACAGAGTAAAAAACCTGTAGTGAATATTTAGGTTATCCTTATCGTATTATATTATAATACGATAAGGCTGCTACAGTGATAAATATTCACTTATAGGTTTTCCCTCTGCAGCATTTGTATGCTACAATTGAAAATCCTAGTTAATTGTATTTAAATAATTTTAAATTAATTAATTAATTAATTATTATGGTAATCTGTTTTTTTTTAGTGCTTATTTTCATTCTGCAGCCACACTTAATTATGTTAGATCAATACTTAACTCAGGATTTGCGGGTAATTATAATTTATATATATATATATATATATATAAAGTAATGAGTATTTTATTTATATAAAATTATTTAATTTTTTTTTTAAATCATAAATTAGATCTACATAATCTGAATGAATGGTCCCTTAATCATGTTCGTTCCAAAGGAACGCGTCAGGAGTATCAAACGATAGTTGATCGTCTTCTAGATTCATTAGATTTCATGAAGACAATTGGAGCAGATGTACCATCATCTCCTATGTCTTATTCATTAAATAGTGTCGATTTGTTTATGTCACATGAAGGATTAATACTTGAATATGAACAATGTATGACTCGTTTATTAAAAGATCCAGAAACAGGAATTTCAAATTGGTATAATGTAGGAGCACATTTTTTATGGATAGGTGATAGAACTAGACAACTTGATGGAGCACATGTAGAATATTTTCGTGGAATTCGTAATCCTATTGGAATTAAAGTGGGGTCTAGCATGAAAGCAGATGAACTTAAAAAATTATTGAATATAGTAAATCCTAATAAAGAAATTGGAAAGGTGACATTAATTACACGTTACGGATGTGATAATGTAAATTATCTTTATTAATTTATTTATTTATTGAATGTATAATTATACTATAATAACACTTTTGTTATATAATACTGTAATATTTTAGGTAGAAAATTTCTTGCCAGATCACATTAAAGCTGTCAAAGAATCAGGTCATATTGTTGTTTGGACATGCGACCCAATGCACGGAAAGTAAGTACAATTTTTATTAAATTGACATGATTTAATTATTATATAATAATAATAATGTAATAAAATATAATTAATTATATAATAACAATAATGTAATGAAATATAATAATTAATAGCACAAAACAAGCAAGTTCAGGTGTAAAGACTCGATATTTTAATTCAATAATGGAGGTATTAAATACAATTATTTTTGTTTTTTGTAAAAGTGTTTATATTAGGTGGTTAAATATCTATATTAAGTGATATTTTATTCTTATCTATTATATTTAATAGGAACTTTATAAAGTGATAAAAACTCATAAAAGTAATGAAAGTCAATTAAATGGTGTACATTTTGAGCTTACAGGTGAAGGTGTAACTGGTTAGTGCTATAAGATAAAATATCTACTATACAAAGTAGATGTTTGTATTTTTATTAATAGATCATACAAAAAGGTTACTTTAAAGAAATTAATTTAGCCTTTTTTTATTTGATGTATGCCATTGTATGTACCATAAATATCTAAAATTGATTAACTTTATTTAGAATGTATCGGAGGATCTATGGAATTATCAGACGTAGATCTTGAACAAAATTATAAGACTCACTGTGATCCAAGACTTAATTATGAGCAAAGCTTAGACGTGGCATTTTTGATTGCAAAACATTACGAAAAGGAGCGAAATGAATCTCTTCCTTTGTAGTTTTAATTTTATCATTTTTAATATAGGAGAAAAAACTTTTTTTACTACTATATTAAAATTTATTGGGTATGATCATAAGAAAAGGAAATTTTTTGTAGCCAAATTTAGACTTGATAATTATACATCCAAATTTCTAAAGCAAAATATAATTTATTACACAATAATAATTTAGAAATTTAGTATATAGCAAAAGTCATTTTAAATAGGCCCTAAATAATTTAAGATCTACATTCCACAGCGATTAATGTATTCACACGCGTCTCCAAATTTCTATATTTAATACAAATTTATTTCATACATAATAAAGTTTAAATATTATATACTATTAGAGCTTCTATTCGGTGAATATTCGAATAAATAAATTATCTGATGAATAAATTCGAATATTCGAATAAGCAAATTTATTTGAATAATTTTCATTATTCGTCATGTGCTTCACACATAGTATCTACGTATTATTGGCTGCTTCATATCCAACAAATTTGAATAAAATAGTAAGTACTTATTCGAATAATTTAGTCATTCAGCGAATATTCGAATAAGGAATCCGTAAGCTCTATATACTATCTGCTATATACTATATAGTGTATATATATATAAATGAAGTTCATACAAATTATTCGATTAGTTCTTATTCTTAACGTTAAAATAAATCGCATGTGATTGCATATCACAATTATCCATACACGTGGCAGAAACGGTAATTAAATTGAATCTGAGCCAATAGTAAAATTTTTTATGAATCGCTTATGGCTTACAGCTACGTAGAATATTTATATAATTTAAATGTTAATATGACTATCACTTGGATATCACCTAATTTTTATAAAAAAATTTCGCCCATATGGGAATAAGTTATTTCACGTGAAAATATATGCAACTCTACAGCCAGATTATATGATGACTAATAAGAATATCTTACCTACAAGTGATAAATTTGATTAATAGACAAATAACTTTCCGAGAATCGACTTTCAAACGCATATATATATATACAATGTAAATCAGGACTTTATAATGTATAACAGATAATGTTTGTACGTACTGTACGTACGTACGTAGAAACTTCATTGTTTTTTTTTTCTTACGTAGTATAATGACATATTTCAAATCATCACCATGATTTGCAGAAACCACGCCCATATCTGTCTCACCATTACCCCAAGTCCCCAACATTTTTAAAAAAAAAAATTCTTCTAATCTTGTGTGTAACAATTTGGAAAAATTTTTGATATAAAAGATATAGTTTGTTTAACTTGTTCTTCACATTGGGTTAAATATTTTAAATATTTTTCCTTCAATTTAATATAGATTAAAAAAAAAAAAAAAAACTTTAGATCAAATAATTAGTTATAATTTGAATATATATAACTAAACACGATCCGTTTCAATTGTTATAATCAATGGCCGGCATGGTATCCATAGACCGCCCATTTGGAATTTATCTTGATGACTATTTTGTAAAAGCATATAGTTTCCTTACAGGAAAAAATCCAAATGATTTTGCCTTTGTTATAGGTGTTACGCCACTTTCAACATTAAGCGAAGTTGTTATTAGTTGTATTACTTATTTTTCCCTGATATTTGGTGGTCGACTACTTTTATCAAATAGTCCTGTTATAAGACTCAATATAATTTTTCAAATTCATAACTTTTTGTTGACTGTATCATCAGCAATTTTATTAATATTATTCATCGAACAACTATTTCCAATTTATTGGCGTAATGGTATTTTTTATTCTGTATGCAGCAAAGATGCTTGGACTCAACGATTAGAATTGTTATATTATTTAAATTATCTTGTTAAATATTGGGAACTTGCTGATACTATTTTCTTGGTATTAAGGAAAAAAGATCTTGGTTTGTAAAAAAAAGAAAATTATTATTATTTATTTAATGAATTCGTTAATTTTAATTATTATTATTATTTTTTTTTTTTAGAATTTTTACACGTTTATCATCATAGCATGACAATGGCTTTATGTTTTTCTCAATTACAAGGTCGAACCACTGTGGTAAATTTCAATTTTAATGATACCTCTAACTTACTTTCTTACCTTAAAAATTAACTAACTTTATTATATATTTAAATGCTTAGTCATGGGTTCCAATTACTTTAAATTTGACGGTACATGTGTTAATGTATTATTATTACTTTCGTGTTGCTGGAGGTGCAAAAGTTTGGTGGAAGCAATATCTTACAACATTTCAAATTATTCAATTCATAATCGACCTCTTTTTCGTATATTTCTGTTCTTATACTTACTTTACTTCTACATATTGGCCTTGGATACCAAACTTTGGTTCTTGTGCTGGTGACGAAAAAGCTGCTATTTTTGGTTGTTCACTTTTAAGTAGTTATTTATTATTATTTATTGGATTTTATAAGAAAACTTATAAACCTAAAACTGTTAGTACTACTTCGAAAGATAAAGGTAAAATCCCTCCTTCCAAAGTCGTTAATTGATGTGTTACAAAAATTTAAAGGATTAAATATAATAATCTAATTATATCATCATAAAAAAGATTGTTGATTTTTTCCCTTACAATTTTTCTTTCTCTTTTATTTGTTTATTTATTTTTGTATTACTGTTAATTTATTATTTTTATAGTATTACGGTAGAAAAAAAAAACAGTATTTTTTTTTTTTTTTAGATTTGATTACATATATAGACTAAATCTTTTTCTGCTAATATTTTTGTAATTTAATGACATTCTTTTTTTTTTTTAAAAAAAAAAAAAAAAAATCCTTCATTTGAAAAAAAAAAAAAAAAAAAAATTTGAAAACCCGGAGATCGATTCGAATGTAATAAAGGGTTTTTA